TTCGCCCCATTGAACGTTAAGTTACTCCAGTTATTCGCCTCTTCAATATTTGTCCTTCGTGACAATATGTGGATATATACCGTGTTTGGTTGATAATAGCCGCACTTCGTAAGAAGAACGCTTGCGAGTCTGCTCCCGCGGAACACGGGGATAGCGAATTACCGCAAACGACAAAAAAAATATGACATCAATTTACGGGACAAATATAACCTTTACAATAATGAACGAGGGACATTGAAGACAAACATACAGCACAGGCTTTCGACTTTGTTTTGGTGGTTTTGTAGAAGGCTGAAAACTTGTGTTGTCTGTTTGTCTTCAATGTCCCTCTTTCGTTCAGGGATTCAAACCGAAAAATATTGTCACGAATGACAAGTGATGGGGCGGCGAATAACTGAGTAAACAGAACGTTCAATGGGGCGAAATGTGCCCCAAACAAAAAAGGAAACAGAAGATAAGAGCAGAGCGCCGAGGGCGTCGAAGTCGGTGCAAAAGCAGGTTCGAGCGCTAAGGCGAGACTGCTTGCCACGCGGAGCCCCTTTTGTAAACGCGTGGGCTTGTGGAACATTCGGGGTACAAGGTTTGGTGCGTAGAACATTCTAACCTCAAATCAGCAAGACGGTTCTCGAATTTACCAGAACACCACATTACAGCGTCAAAACAAAAATGTGCAGTGGCATCCAGGAATCGAATCGTGGCCTTCTGCGTGGAAGGCAAGCGCGATAGCGGTTAGGCGATGGGCGCGCTTTTTTTTCTTTATTGCATAAACCAGAGAACACATGTCAAATAATATTAAAAATGCTCTGCAAAGCCTTTGCAGGGCAAGTTGAAAAGTTTTCATTTTCAATAGCTTTTTGCAAAGGCCTACCCATTCGGGCTTGGGCTCCCGGGTGGAAAAAAACATTTTCTATTTGTTTAACAAGGTCAAAGAAACAAAACCGAACTTCATTGGTATTGGGGTCGGCGTGACGCACTGCCGTGCGCGACCGCCATATACTGCACAGTCCTAAAAAAAGAACATAGTAAAAGGTACACAATCGTCTAGGCCACGGGCGCGCTGCCTACTTCGTCAGCTGTAGTCACGGCATTATTCCCCATTTTAAAAAAGTGCATCGTTCCGATAAAGCACAAAACGAAAAAAAAAAACAAAGAAAAACAAATCCCCAACAAAACGACAGCAGAATCGCGAGCCACAGTTCACAGTTCACTCGCCGATACGAGTGGAAAGTTCTACCGTTCTTAATACGGCTTCAGCCGGACGACGTGCCCCACCTTGGATCGCGGCTGACGTCTTGGTGATGGTCGTGTTCCGTCGGAAAGAACTTCCTATACTTCGTTTCAGCTTCGGTCCGAGCGCGGTGGATGTTATGAGCCGAAGGGCCAATCAAAGAGCGCAAAAAGCGCAGCGTCATGGCGTGCTCTCTGCGCTTGATAGGACTAGCCGGCGGAGGAGCGCGCACAGAGAGACGGCGAATACCGGCCTGTCCTACCAACTGCAGACAGAAGGCCATGACGTTGTGCCTCTATCGCTGTTTGATTGGCCCTTCGGCTCATAACATCGGCCGCGCTCGGACCGAAGCTGAAACGAAGTATAGTTCAAATCTCCGAGCCGTCGGATGATCGTGTGAGGCCCAAAATAGCGCTTCAGCAGCTTTTCGCTGAGACCGCAGCGACCGAATCGGCGTCCACATCCACACTCTCTCTCCGGGCTGGAAGTGGACGGCGCGGCGACGAAGATTGTACCGGCGAGCGTCGACACGCTGTTGATCGTGAATTCGAAGGCGGGCTTGTTGGCGTGCCTCTTCTCTTCTTTGAATGACCGCATGGGCATTGTCGCATCCGTCATCCAATAGCTCATGCGGCAGCATCGCGTCCAGCATGGTCGTCACTTTTCTGGCATGCACCAGCTCGAATGGTGTAAACGCGGTTGTTTCTTGAGCTGCGGTGTCGTCGGCGAACGTGACGTATTGTAATACCTCGTCAGACGTCTTATGCTTTACGTCGACGCACATGGAGATCATGTCGGCGATCGTCTTGTTGAGCCGCTCCGTTAGCCCGTTGGTCTGCGGATGGCGCGTGATGGTACGACGATGGCTTGTGTGGCTGAGCCAAAGGATCTCTTGGTGAGCTTAGCAAAAAACGATGACCCTCGGTCGGTTATCAAGACTTCAGGGGCGCCATGTCAAAGGAGAATAGATTCGACGAAAAACTGGGCGACTTCCACCGTTGCTCCCGTCAAAAGGGCTTTCGTCTCGGTGTATCTTGTGAAATAATCGGTCGTGACGACAATCCAACGGTTTTCTTGCGTCGATGTTGGGAACGGCCCAAGTAAATCCATTCCGAGCTGCTGGAAGGGCCTACTGGGGGCAGTTATCGGCTGCAGGAGTCGTGCTGGCTTCGTCGGAGGCATCTTACGCCGTTGGCACTCATGGCACGACCGTGTACACAAATGGACGGTTTTCGGAAGTCTCGGCCAATAGTACTTCTCACGAATCTGGGCGTGCGTCTTGCTTTAGCCAAGGTGTCCAGCCGTCGGGTTGTCGTGGCACCCCTGAAAGATTTCTTTTCACAGGCTGGCAGAACAACCAGCAGCCAGGCAGGGTTTCTGGTTCCGAAGTTCTTCTTGGAGAGCACGCCTCGCCGCAGAGCTAAGCTTGACAAGTCTCGAGCCAAGAATCCCGGAACGGAACTTCCTTGACCTTCGAGGTGGTCGATCGCGGCGCGAAGTTCGGGGCCGTATTGTTGAAGTGCTCCCATGTCGGTATCTGTAATTGCTCCGAGAAAACGGGCGTCATCGTCGTTGTTGGTGCTGTCGGGAGGTGTTTCAACTGGGGCCCTAGACAAATAATCGGCGTCATTGTGCTTGCGCCCAGACTTGTGCAGAATGGTCACGTCGAATTCTTGCAGTCGATGGCTCCAGCGAACGAGGCGTCCGGACGGGTCCTTGAGGTTGGCGAGCCAACAAAGAGCGTAGTGGTCCGTGACAACGCGGAACGGGATCCCATACAGGTACGGGCGGAACTTCGTTAACGCCCGGACGACAGCGAGACATTTCTTGTCGGTCGCTGATTAATTTTTCTCTACCTTGGACCCGCTTGTGGATGACTTCTTTCTTTTTCACAGAGAAACGGCACGCCGTCAGATGAACAGGAAGCGCGTAGTCTTCAGTTACAATGTCTCGAATGAGGAGTGACAAGGCGGCGAATAACTGAATAGACGGAACGGTTAATGGGACGAACTTGTGCCCAAAACAAAAATGAAACAAAAGATAAGAGCAGAGCAGAGCGGACGTCGAAGTAGGCGTAACAGCAGGTTCGAGCGCTGGGGCGAGACGGATCCGGCTTGCCACGAGGAGCCTCTTTTGTATACGCGTGGGGGCTTGCGGAATATTCGGCGTAGAAGTTTCGGTGCGTAGAACATTCTAACCTCGAATCAGCCCCCTCGAATCAGCTGGCATTTTACATTTCTCTTTATGGCTCTGTTTTTTTGTTTTTTTTCCTTCGTCCCCTGTTTGACTGAGTTTCAGATTGAATTCCTTTTTCACCCAATTGGCTTCCCTTTTTTCTGCCCGTTCGGTCGACTTTGCCGCACTGCCCACCGCTCCACCTTCGCCCGCTACCCGACAGCGCATGAGCACATGCCTCCGGAGTCGGTTTTGGAGTGCTTCTAGGGGACTGTGCGCAGGTGATCATATCCCCACTGCTGAGGCCAATATACCTCTGGGAAGGACTTGCCGGGTTCTGGGGCGCGTGCATTAGCGAGAAAAGGACTTTTGTACACACGGACAACACAGGTTTGGCTCTATACTCCAAGCCAGATGCTCTGTGCAGGAGAGTGGAGCCTATGAGATGTAAACAGGCAACTTCTTCCGCGAAAAGCAGAGTTCCAGCAAAATACACGCCTTTGCGTTTATATTTGTGTATATTTATGTACTTCATCGCATAACTCTGTTTGAGAGCAATTGATTTTAACAATTCATTCTGTATCGTTTGCTTGCCTAATTGAGTAATACTCAAGAATGAGTTCCAAGATATCAAAAACAGAAAAATTATTTGCGGCACTTACATAATTTTTTTTGTTTATCTAGAAACACTACATATTTCGTATTAAACCTACAAATAAACATGAGTTATATTATAAATGTGTTTTATTGTTTTCTGAATTCGTGACGGCGGAGGGCGTTTTTCACGTAGTACTTCGGTTATTGCAAGATGGCTACCCCCGTGTCGCCTATGTGATATCGCTCCAAGCTTTCGTTTTTTCCCAAACAAGCAAAACAAATAGCGAGGAATGAGCTAGGAGTTTTAACGAAAGAGGCAGGAAAATCTGCAAGCACCACGAGCATCTTTCAAAGAACGGCGCAGCTCACTGCTGTGAGTAAACGGGCGCTGTATAAGTGGTCTGCCGAGTTTCAGAAGAGCGGCGGAGTGTCAACTCTGCAAACCAAGTCCAGAGGCGGGAAGAACTGCGAACGGGCGAAGAAACTCGACGACTTCAACCTTGGTGTTCTGAGAAGAAAGGTGCACGATTTCTTTCGCAGGAATGAGATGCCAACGGTTGCGAATGTGAGAAAGCTCTTCAGTGAAAGCGACGACCTACCGCAAGTCTCAGTATCTACGCTGAACCGAATGCTTAAGAAGCTCGGCTTCAAGTACCGCAGATGAAGTAGAAACGCGCATATGATTGAGAGCCCTAACATCATGCAGTGGTGATGCAGCTACCTCCGGCAGATCAAGGAGTTCCGCAAAGAGGGAAGGCAGATATATTTTACGGACGAAACCAGGGCAAACGCTGGGAACACGAAATATCGTGTCTGGGTAGACACAACTATCGCAAGTTCAAGTCAGGCCAGGCGTTCTGGACTTACCACCGGGTTGAAAAATCCAAGCGGTAAAGGTGAGCGACTCATTATCACCCACTGCGGCAACGAACAGGGCTTTGTTGATGGTGCGGGAGAAGTATTCCGAGCGCGGAAAGGCACGTGTGACTACCACCAAGAGATGGACGGAACACATTGTGAAAAATGGTTCAGCGAGAAGCTGCTCCCAAAGCTTGCCCCCAACAGCGTAATCGTCATGGATAATGCACCCTATCAATCGGTGCAGATTGAAAAAGTTCCGCTGATGTCGACACGAAAAAGGGATATTCAGGACTGGCTTTCGAGAAAGGGTGTTGCGTGGAGCAATGAAATGGTAAAGGCCGAGCTACTGCAGCTTGTTGTAACAGTAAAAATTCAGGGCAACCAGTACCGTGTTGGTCAGATGGCTTTCATGGCTGGCCACACAGTTTTACGCTTGCCCCCTTATCACTGCCAGCTCAACCCAATCGAACTGGTTTGGAGTATGGTGAAGGGGTATGTGGCTGACAAAAACAAGACGTTCCAGTTTGCCGACCTTGAACCGTTGGTCTTGGGGGGCTTCGCTGAAGTAACACCTTAGAAGTGGGCATATTGTGTTCGCCATGTCATGAAGGAAGAGGAAACCATGAGGAAAGTTGACCCCATCATCGATGACGTCGTCCACAGTGCCGACAGGATACTGACCAACCTTGGTGACGAGGACTCTGAACGCTCTGAGGATGATAGCCCGGAATACATTAGCATGTCAGATGATGACCTGGGGTGCCAGCCTTTGTAAAATTTATCGCAGCATTTGTAGCCTTCATATCTCACTTGGAATGCCCATATTTTAGTTATTTATAATTTCGCTCAAATACCCTCAAGGCAAGTGCCTTGAACAGGCATGAGAGCTGTAAATTATTAACTATAAAGTGTACATATCAGTATTAGCATGTTTAAACAAAACATTATCAGCGATGTTAGTAATACTATAGACCTTTCCAACGACAGTCTCGAACGAAGCGATTTACAGCGCGTGTCCCTGGTTTTGAGAGTGTACGTCAGTGTTGCCCGACTGCGCTGAGCTGTGGAGTTTCTCGTCAGTGGGCTGTCGCAACCTGCGTAGGCGTAATTCCCGACGCTGGTGGCGGCTGAATTGCGACGTTCTCTTTTTGATCTTGTGTTCTGTGGTGAACATAATTTATAGAGGTCTTTGAGAAAGCAGTGTTATATTTTTGGGAACAAAAACAAAGAAATGAAAGCTGTTTTGGTGAGTCCGTGCGCGACAGAACAAATGCAACTCGAATGTTTGTTTCATTTTATGTTCGTCGTTTTGCGGCACCGTAACTCAGCCGTGTCAATCTATAAAGGTCAAAATATTTGACCACACAGGATATCCCTACTGCATGGATATTACCCGCCCACAACATAAAATTCAATGAGTCTCATCAATCGAACGAAAAATATATTGAACGTACCCCACGGTGCCACCTTATCCGAACAGAGTTTGAGAAAGGTCTCAAATGACACAGCATATCCAATATACAGTGTCGACGATAGTCACTTCACGACGATCGGACGTAATCCGGCGTGTTTTGGGGAACATGTAGAAGAGAGCTCCTTTTTTGCACAGCTTCCAAGCAAATGAACGAACGTTTTTATTCCGTCCCCACACCCCGGACCCGACCCTATCAGCTATTTTTTGCGAAGACCCGAAACACAGCCTGGAAGGCTTTTTGGAGATTATCTCGACGAAATAATCCTCCAAGCACGTCGAACTGCCTGCGTCGCGGGCTGCTTGACGTTCGCTCTCTTCGTTCGTTTCCTGCGAAGGCCGAGCGGGCTACGAGACCTGGTATTCCCTGGTTCTCACAGTGGAAGATAACATACAAAGGGTAAGCATCCAAAACAGGCGAATGAAATAAAAGCTTCCAAGAAAAGCCGCTGAACTCCGAATGCAAAATGCAGGTGGGGAGTCACGCTGACCTGGTTTCCACAGCTCAGGCGGATGCCAGAAATTTCTGACTGATAGGGGTCGCTCGATTCGCAAAATGGCGGCGGCCAGAGCGCTCTTTTTGCAAAGGTCTATAGTGGCTAGTCGTTTCTTATCACATGATTACTCTAAAAATCCAGCATATCTGCACTAAAATCTGCTCTCGACCTGTGCCCATTGTCTGAAAGAACTAATATCTCCCGTCTTGTCACCTTCCACAAACTATTCGTTTCCCCCTCCTCTTTTCGTGACCTTTACGTACAACCAGCATCATGCATTTGCATACGCATTCACATTAACCTAAAAATTGGGCCATTATTTTCGAGGACTAATAAATTTAAGGACTCCCCAATGGCTCTAGCCATTAAACACATGAATTCTTTTCCTCGATTAATTGTAATTTAAACTAATAACTATAAATTCAGAGATCTGTGCAAGGAATACTTCCAAGCTGTTCATAATTTTTATGTTTAGTTATCACCACCTTATTTCCTACATGTATAGTTTTAATTTGTCGTTGTGAATATTTGTATGCACCATGTTCCTAATCAGCTGTTTTAACCGATTTACCTGCTCAAATTTGTCCTCCCTCATGTAACACACTTTCGATCTACATTTGATGGATAATAAAATTAAAATTACTTCTGTTGTGAGTTTCATATTGTCAATTGTTACGTTAGGTACTTTTGCATTGCCCCTCGTGCCAAGCAGTTACGTACCGAATAAAGAGATGGTGTGCCGTGTCCTGCATGTTTTTCTGTATTGCCAATTGCACCGCAGCGTGGCAAACTACAGACGCAGAAGTTGCGCAAATGCGACATGAAAAAAAAGTCTAGACATCAACCCGTGTTTTTATTTTACGGCCAGCTAGCATGATCAACACGCACAGCTGTAGAAGCAGGAGACATAAGAATGTGAAGAGATTATGGCAGCTACAACAAAGATGTATAACCAACTTCGGTGCTTTTTAATAGGGTGGCTAGCAAAACCAACATATACAGCTCAGAAAACGACAGTCGCAGAAAGTTGAGGCAAATAGCATGGGATCAAGCTACGTCCAGACATTAACCCGTGCTTTTCTTTTGCGAGGCGCCAGCATGATCAAAACACGTACAGCTGTAGAGGCAGGAGACGTAAGAATGTGAAGAGATTATGGCAGCTACAGCAAAGATGTCTAACCAAATTCGGTGCTTTTTAATGGGGTGGCTAGCAAAACCAACATATACAGCTCAGAAAAAGGCAGTCGCAGAAGGGTGAGGCAAATAGCATGGGATAAAGTTACGTCTAGACATTAACCCGTGCTTTTCTTTTGCGAGGAGCCAGTAGGATCAACCCGTACAGCTGTAGAAGCAGGGGACGTAAGAATGTGAAGAGATTATGGCAGCTACAACAAAGATGCCTAACCAACTTCGGTGCTTTTCAATAGGATGGCTAGCAAAACCAACATATACAGCTCAGAAAACGACAGTCAAAGAAGGGTGAGGCAAATAGCATTGGATAAAGTTACATCCAGACATTAACTCGTGCATTTCTTTTGCGAGGAACCAGCATGATAAAGACGTACAGCTGCAGAGGCAGGAGACGTAAGTATGTGAAGAGATTATGGCAGCTACAACAAAGATGTCTAACCAAATTCGATGCTTTTTAATAGGGTGCTTGCAAAACTAACATATACAGCTCAGAAAACGACAGTCGCAGAAGATTGAGGCAAATAGCATGTGATAACGGTACGTCTAGATATTAACCCGTGCTTTTCTTTTGCGAGGAGCCAGCATGAGCAACACGTACAGCTGTAGAAGTAGAAGACGTAAGAATGTGAAGAGATTATGGCATCTACAACAAAGATGTCTAACCAAATTCGGTGCGTTTTGAATAGGGTGGCTAGCAAAACCAACATATACAGCTCAGAAAACGACAGTCGCAGAAGGCTGAGGCAAATAGCATGTGAAAAAGTTACGTCTAGACATCAAGCCGTGCTCTTCTTTTGAGAGGAGCCAGCATGATCAACACATACAGCTGTAGAAGCAGGAGACGCAAGGATGTGGACAGATTATGGCAGCTACAACAAAGATGTATAATCAAAATGTGCGCTTTTTGATAGGGTGGCAAGCGAAATCAACAAATGCAGCTCAGAAAACGACAGACGGAAAGACTCAAAAATGTGACATTGGCGTGTAGACATCAACCCGCGCTTTTCTTTTGCGACAAGCCAGCATGATCAACACATACAGCTGTAGAAGCAGGAGACGCAAGGATGTGGACAGGTTTTGGCAGCTACAACAAAGATGTCTAATCAAAATGTGCGCTTTTTAATAGGGTGATAAGCGAAATCAACTAATGCAGCTCAGATAACGACAGACGGAAAGACGCAAAAATGTGGCATGGGCGTGTAGACATCAACCCGTGCTTTTCTTTTGCGACAAGCCAGCATGATCAACACATACAGCTGTAGAAGCAGGAGACGCAAGGATGTGGACAGGTTTTGTCAGCTACAACAAAGATGTATAATCAAAATGTGCGCTTTTTGATAGGGTGGCAAGCAAAATCAACAAATGCAGCTCAGAAAACGACAGACGGAAAGACTAAAAAATGTGACATGGGCGTGTAGACATCAACCCGCGCTTTTCTTTTGCGACAAGCCAGCATGATCAACACATACAGCTGTAGAAGCAGGAGACGCAAGGATGTGGACAGGTTTTGGCAGCTACAACAAAGATGTCTAATCAAAATGTGCGCTTTTTAATAGGGTGATAAGCGAAATCAACTAATGCAGCTCAGATAACGACAGACGGAAAGACGCAAAAATGTGGCATGGGCGTGTAGACATCAACCCGTGCTTTTCTTTTGCGACAAGCCAGCATGATCAACACATACAGCTGTAGAAGCAGGAGACGCAAGGATGTGGACAGATTATGGCAGCTACAACAAAGATGTATAATCAAAATGTGCGCTTTTTGATAGGGTGGCAAGCGAAATCAACAAATGCAGCTCAGAAAACGACCGACGGAAAGACTCAAAAATGTGACATGGGCGTGTAGACATCAACCCGCGCTTTTCTTTTGCGACAAGCCAGCATGATCAACACATACAGCTGTAGAAGCAGGAGACGCAAGGATGTGGACAGGTTTTGGCAGCTACAACAAAGATGTCTAATCAAAATGTGCGCTTTTTAATAGGGTGATAAGCGAAATCAACTAATGCAGCTCAGATAACGACAGACGGAAAGACGCAAAAATGTGGCATGGGCGTGTAGACATCAACCCGTGCTTTTCTTTTGCGACAAGCCAGCATGATCAACACACACAGCTGTAGAAGCAGGAGACGCAAGGATGTGGACAGGTTTTGTCAGCTACAACAAAGATGTCTAATCAAAATGTGCGCTTTTTAATAGGGTGATAAGCGAAATCAACTAATGCAGCTCAGATAACGACAGACGGAAATACGCAAAAATGTGGCATGGGCGTGTAGACATCAACCCGCGCTTTTCTTTTGCGACAAGCCAGCATGATCAACACATACAGCTGTAGAAGCAGGAGACGCAAGGATGTGGACAGGTTTTGGCAGCTACAACAAAGATGTCTAATCAAAATGTGCGCTTTTTAATAGGG